AATCATTCAATTTTCTTCCCATTCCCCCTAATTAAAAGGCAGTATTTTTTTGAACTAAATCCCAAGTGTTTCAAGTCCCATCAGTGTTTAATTGTATGACTTCAGGCCATCGCTCGCCCTCCAGGACTGCAGGTTTGGGTGCCGTCCATTCGTGGCCTTTCCAAAACAAGCAGGGGAACAACATTTCACCCCCTCAAAGCGTAACTCAAACATCTGATGGCTGCAGTCCCACTGGGCACAGGAATTCAAGAGATTGAGCAGAGGAAAACCCCACGATGACCACCGAGTGTGATGACCTGGATACAACTCCTGCCTCGAGAAGTCACTGAGCTGTGTTTAGCTGGAGCCTGGGGGACATCCCACGTCCTGAATTCCCTCCCTAAACACCTGCTGGTGGTGCTTGTAGGAGATCTAAGTGTAAAGCTGCTGTACCTTCGTCCTGTTTGCAGGGCTTCCAGCTTTCAGGCACTCATGGCCACTTGTTGAATGCTCATCCCCGAGCAGGGGATGTCTTGGAAAGCTGTGGTTTAACAGAAGCTGCAGGTGGAAAAATCCTCTACCAGCTGTAGGAGCTGAGGGCTCGCAGCTCCCGGCTCCCAAGTGCCTAATTGAGTTTGAAAGAGCTGTTCTCAAAAGCAGCTGTCTCACTTAAAAGAAGAAAAGCTGCAGCAGGAAAATAAACAGAGACCTCTCTTGTTTGTCTGCAGAGTGCATTTAGAGCCCCTGGGGAAGCCGAGATGTGGGAGCATCAGCACTATCGCTCCAGCTGCTGAAAGCCCTGCTGTATCCTCAGCAAACTGCCCCAAACCACAGGGCTGCCCCAGCCCTAAAAGGCCACCAGCACCCCGTGAGGACATGGTGGAGAACCTGCAGCTCTGCTTCCTGCCACCATAATGCACAGGGTCTTTGAGTCACAGCCTGTGTCCGTATTATAAAGCCCTTGATGGGTTTTTATTTATTTTTATTCGCTGTGTTTAGCTGGTTTTTGAACCCATAACACGTTTGGCATCTACTACGTCCTGCAACCATCTGAGCAAGAAGGCTTCTTCTGCTCCAAAAAGCCTTCTCCTGCTCCTGAACGATGATGGAGCACCTGAAATCGTTTGCTGGTGGGTTTACTGACTGTGTCAGCCTGGCTCAGAGCTCTTCTCTTCTAGACCACTATCACCCCAGGCTGCCAAAGAAGCAGGAGTGATTTAATAACCAGGTTACCTCCTCCTCCAGCGCCGAGGCAACCATCTGGAGCGTGGAGCTGGCTCGAATGCAAGGCAGACAGAGCTGGCAGCAAGCTGGCCCCGAAACCGCCCCGTCCTGGAGGTTCAGCTGCCATCCAAGGCCTCCCTGATAGAGCCCAGCTGGATAACCCTGCCTCCGAGCACAGAGATTGCCAAACTGTGAGAAAGAGCACAGAGCCCTGCAAGATAAGAAAGGTAAAACCGAGGACAGAGCGCGTCGAGACACGACAGGGAGCAGCTCAAAAGTTCCAAGAGGAGAAAATTCGGTGTGAAAAGGGAAAAAAATCCCAACGGGGAGAAACCTCAATGCCGTGAGCTGGCAGAGGGTGGCTCAGCTGAGGCCAATCTGTCCTCCCTAGGTGCTGTCAGTGGGCAACAGGGACAATTTTGGGTGCCTGTGCCAGCACAGCCTTTACCTCACGAGTCTTCGCTGCCCTACACGTGTACGGGGTGCTCTGTGGGTGCCCTGTCCCTGGCAGTGCCAGGCAGGCTGGAAAAATACAAGTTCCTTTTTTTTTTGTTGCTGTTAAATCAGTGTCTGAGGGATTGGGAGCAGGAAAAGCCAGTCTGGAGTCGGGAAACGCGCTAAGGGAGGAATATTGGAGGCAAACGAAGCGAGCAGGACGCGTCCCAACAAGCTGCTCTGCCTCCCCGGCCCCGATGGCAGGATAAGGGATCCTCGTGGCACGGCTCCTCCTGTCCCACACAGCAGGTGCCATCCTGGAGCAGCCGGTGAGTTGGAGATTTCAGGGCGGTGCTTGGTTTGGAGAACACGCCGATCCTTTAGAAGTTGATCTTATTTCACCAGGATGGCTCCAGAAGAGCAACTGCAGATTTTAACACGGTGTCTCTCAAATTTTAACGTGGCGTCTCTCAGGCACAACACAAACCCAAGCAATGGCAGCACTGCCTTCTCCTGCTCTGCACAGTGCCCACAGGAGCTGGTATTTCTGCACACGGGGTGCTTTCAGTCCTGCTGATGACGGCTGTGTCCAAGAGCCAAGCATTCCCTTTCCCAAACAGCAAAAAGGAGCACAGGGGAGCAGGGAACTTCGTCTGCACTCCCCCAGCAGTGCAGTTCTTCAGGTGACATCCCACACAAGATGGCACAGCAGCGTGGCAGGACCAGGACTTTTACTTATTATAAATAAATATTATTTTTAAGTATCCCATATGGATTCACACTTACAAAAATAAAAAATAAACCTTTTCCCAGCAAGTCCACTTTTCTTTTTCATTCCTCTGCCAGATCTAGGGAGATGGAGAAACCAGAGACTTGTACTTACTCCACTGCCATCCACAGTGCCGTTTTATCTGCAGTGCCTATTTTAGTAAGAAATTGAGAGAATCTTCTTCATTTTAGCAGCAATGTCATCAAGTCCTCAGGGAACAGAGTTCAGGTCAAGTGTAGGTCTTAATCTAGTACCACTAAACATTGTGCTTGCTCAAAGCCATTCCCGTGCTGCATCGATTCCACTGCTTAACGTGGGCTTAGAGAGCCCGTGGCCGTGAAGGACACAGCCAGAGGAGCTGAAATGCCCCAAGCACTGTGAGGACGGCAGCTGATGAGATGAGGCACAACACACAAAAAGCAAGCGGTTCTCTGCTCAAAAAAATACTAATTCTTAAACAAGGCTTATTCCTGCTGGGAAAATTCTTACAAGGTTTATGTTTCACACTGCACCGAGGAATTACAAGGCAAAAAGGAATGGCTAAATATATAAGTACATATAAATTAAATATATATTTATCTCCATCCTGTAGGTACGTGTATATCCTGTAGAAATAGAAATGCTGTACTTACCTGGCTGGACCATCTCAACAAGTTTTTTTCATGTCAGCAAAAAGCCACCATGAAGCAAAGTTCCTGCATCTCCTGTGTCATTGAATCAGCCACTTTAGAGTTGATTCAAAACAGGGCTGAGCGCCTTTTTTTCCTCCCCAAAATAATCACAAGCTACACCCTGAAACTATTACCCCGCGTGGTACTGCCACGCACCCTGCTGTGCCTAGTGAAGCGGGTCTCTAATTTGGTCCAGCAAAAATCCTGGATTTGTGCCTGTCCAGGAGAGCTCGCAGATTTTGAGCTTTGGGATGAACCCCTCCTTTAGCCTGACCTGCAGTGTTAGGGCAATCCGAGTCCACCAGCAACGCTCTCGCATCAGAACATCAAAATATCAGCCTCTGGAAAACAAATGCCACAGGATTGTCCCAACGTTTAGGCAGAAGGAGCAACCGTGAGCAGCCAAGCAGAGTCCAGCGTCGTGCAGTCACGTTCAGGGCACGGTGGCGGCTCCTCCTCATTGTTTTCTTCCACTGCTTGGGGAAAATTGGTGGTGTGGAAGAGAGCCCTGTGATGGCACTGAACAAAAACAGGTGGATTTTTTAAAAAATGCTGCTTCTGTTGTGGGAATGCAGCCACCTTTCTGCTGCCTGCCTCAGTGAACAGGTTAGAAAGGAGCAAGGTGGGACACATCAGATGCTAAATGACACAGATACACTCACCTGCACCACTGCCTTCAGCTCCAGGTCCAGCACCAGGAGGACGTGGAGCTGCTGGAGAGGGCCCAGAGGAGGCCCCGAGGAGGAGCAGAGGCTGGAGCCCCTCTGCTCTGGAGCCATCTGAGGGAGCTGGGGGTGTTGGGCCTGGGGAGGAGAAGGCTCCGGGGAGACCTCCCAGCGGCCTGCCCGGGCCTGAGGGGCTGCAGGAGAGCTGGGGAGGGACTCAGGGTCAGGGATAGGGACAGGGCAACAGGGGGTGGCTCTAAACTCAAAGAGGGGAGCCTTAGATCAGACATTAGGGAGAAATTTTTCACTCAGAGGGCAGTGAGGCCCTGGCGCAGGCTGCCCCCAGGAGCTGTGGGTGCCCCATCCCTGGGGGTGCCCAAGGCCAGGCTGGATGGGGCTGGAACCAGGTGGGCTTTAAGGTTTGGGAATGGAAGCTTGAAAAAGCCAAGCTGAAAGCAACACGACTCTCAGACTGAGAAAAATCTGTCTCAATCTTCACCGCTCCTTCCCATCAAATCTTTTGCACACTGAAGCAAAGCACTGTTTGCACACAGTCTGTATTAGCTAAAGGAACCCACCACAGGTGCTGTGAACGCATGAAGCCTTCAGCACCTTCAGGGACCGCAGGAGCTGCGGGGCAGCAGAGTGCTCATCTGCTGAAAAACCCAAGGCCACACGAGTTCTTCACCCCCCAGACAAGTGGCAGAGACCACCAGTGTTGCCCCAGGGAGACAGAGCACTGACCTACCAGCCTGGTAGGTCTCCTCCATGGGTCACAGACTCTGTTTTTCAAGAAATTACCTCTTTTTTTCCCCTTGGCAAGAAAAAAATACCTCCCCATGCGCCCCCTTAAAACAGTAGGTAACAGAGCCCCAGCTCTCCTGATGAACTCTTTGTAGGTTTTGCAGTCCTGACCTTTGAGGAGGTCTGCCAGCCTTACTTTAGAGAATCTAAAACAAGCTAAAAATCATAGCTAATTAATTTGTTTATTCATCACATGCAGGGCTGGTGTCAAAGAGCCAAAAACATGGAAGCAGAGCTCTGCAAACCGTGCAGAGACTCGGGGTCTCAACCTTTTCATGCAGCCCTGCAGCACCAATTCCTTCTCTACCACCACAGCCCGTGTTGAGCTGCAGGAGAAAAAGCAAATGAGCTGGAAAAATAAAAAAGCTTCAGGCAAGTGTTTACACCCAAGTCACACACACACACCCAATGGAAAGTGAAGGCAGCGCTAATAAAGAAGATTCACGACCGTAATTAAAGAATTTTAGAGTCTTCAAGGTTTTAATTTGAACAGACAAGTCTACTATGTTCTCAACATATCTACAGCAAAGTTTACAGCCACTTCGTATCTGGTTTTCTGCCCTCAAATGGCTGAGCAATTTCAGCCATTGTGATTTTTCCTCAAGTTTTACTTTTTTTTTTCTTGTTTGTTTTGCAATATATTCAATACCACAGCAGCTAGGATTCTGTACACATACAGCATACATCTAACAATAGCACAAAACTCCCAGCCCTGTTACTCATTTTGTTTTAAAACGAAAACTGACGCAGCAGCCAAGGCCAATGAACAATTCCAGATGTTTGGACAGGAGTGCACTCGTCACTTAGCTGTTAACTCGTACGAAATCTATATAGCAGACATCACGCCATGCTATTCAGTGCCACAGTTACAAAAGGAGTGCTGCTACAGACACCTTCCCCCATAGAGGAACCTGTAGGAACCTTTCCAAGGCTTGAGAGAAGCAGACAGAGGCCGGTAACGTCGTACAGTGCAATTTAAGTTACATCGTATGCAACGTGGATGCCGTGCACTTAACCAGGTCGCCACATTCAGGAGTTAGATCGATACAATCAATATATTGAAGGTACATATTCCCTTTATGTTCGTGAAAGCTGTGCAAGTTAGTTCTTTTTCCCTTTTTTTGGGGGGGTAAATGGCAGTGTCCCCGCCTTGACTGACCCCAGAGCTTGGAGAAGGGGCCCCTCGATGTCCAGCTTATTACGGGGGTGCAAAAAGAGTAGACACGGGCAGCTCAGCTGCTGAGGCAGAGCTGGGCACTGCCACGATGCTCAGAAAGACACGGGTGACTGCAAGCAGCGTGTCACTGACTCCACGGGGCGAGTGCAGCGGGCTAACAAGAAGCAAGCTGATCAAAGTGAATAAATACGGTGGGCGTACGGGTAAGGAAAGAAGGGGCGCTGCTCCACCAGTAGCCACCAGGCTTGAAACTGGAAAACGCTGGGAATGAAAAGGCAAACAGACTGTGCGAGTGGCCTGCTACAGGTCTGAGAACCCAGGAGAGGACTCCCAGGAGAGATCTTGTCTCAATTCCACCTCACGCAACACCCTGCAGGACTGCAACGTGGCACAGAGGCTACTGGTTGTGAGTTAACTCAGCCCTCCAGCTCCTGCTGCTTGCTGTGAGCACAAGGCGAAGCGTGGCAGAGGAACCAGGGGGTGGGACAACCTGCTGCCGCTGCTCAGGATGACACCAGGGGATTCTCGTTAAGATCCACACTGCCACGAAGCCAAGGTGCATGCACTGGGGTGGAATCAGTCCTGAAACACGAGTCGGGGATGAAATGCCAGCTCGGAGGGAATTTTCTGCCTTTTGTTAGCTGTCACAGCTGGTTACCCATTTTCCTCAGATGCCTGCAGTTTCCAAGAGACTAGAGCAGGCAGGCAATTAGATCAAAAAAAAAAAAAACAACCCTCTTTGCTTCTCTATTATTTAGCTCAATATATAATTATTATGTTACAAAATTGCATAACCTTTAAGCGTGTTTTATGTATAGTCTATTATGGGGAAAATAGTCCCTTCTGAACCCTTCTCTGAGTAGTGATCACGTATTTCAGATGTGCAGGAACAGCAGAAGCTGCGAATTGGATAGGGGAACAACATCCAGGCAGGTGCAGAGCACGCAGCTGGAATTTTAAAGGGAGAGCAATAACGCTCAGGGCTCTCATTTGCAATGCACCCAGAAGGCAGCTCCAAAATCTGGAGCTTGGAGGCAGAAGGAAGGCATGGCCAACTTGACTCTCAACTGTTAGGCAGTAAAGATCACCAGCTACCCTGAGAAGTGTTCCCTATGTCAGCCTTGATTTAGTGAGCACGTCTGTTGTTCTTAATATGCAGGAAGAAACTGGTAGAAATTGGTATTACAGCTGGGTATTTGTTGGTTTTTTTTCCTTCTGAATTGAGATGGCTTTAGGACTGAGTTTAGGCTAGTCAAAAAAAGTAAATAAATAAGGAAATAAGGACTGGAACAAAAGGTATTAAGGGAGTGTCTAAAACTAGCTGTCACAAGTAGTTTTCTTTGTTATGGAACACTTTAACAAGTATTTTTAGTGGCTATACAGTTTTTGCAGAAGACTATTCTCCAGATACTTCCAAGACAACTACAGATCCCGATGTCCTATCTGTCTTTATATTAAGTGGCTTTTAGGTAAAGGCAGCTTCATTCCAGAACACCAAAGAAAAATGTGGAAGTTCAACACTTTTCAAGACATCAAGACGTGTTGACCCAACACAGCTCCACTTGTTTCAGCCCAATCAGGCTGATGGCAAACAACTTGTAATAACAATTCCAGCCACACGCACTGTTTTAATTCAAGTCATGTGCCAACAGGATCGAGCTGAACAAACGTTGAGATGAGTTAAAATGCCAGACCATTCTTCCCTGCCTTTTTGAAGGAGGAAAAAAGTCTCTAGCAAAAACCCACAAACTTTTTAACATAGCAGATTGCAGTCACAGGAACAAGTAGGTACAAAATAAAAAGTTCTCTCTAGCATCTTTAGGCAGTTTTAGCACCTGCGAGTGATTTACACTATGAGTGTTTCTGTAGTGTGACAGCCTTCCAACCTGCAGCAGCAACCTGGGATGTTAGGTCACATTAACTCCCAACTCCTGCTTCTGATGTTTTACAATGTGTCTAAGACAGGTATAAAAAAAAAAAAAAGAAAAAAAGAAAAAAAAGCACTGAATGGAGTGCAAATACTTTGTTGAGCTGTAGATTAAGTGTTGCTCATGCACCCTGGCAATGCCGTGAGCCTGTTCAAATGTACAGAAACAGCCAGTGCGGTCAGAAGCTTCAAGAGGGCAGTAGTTCAAAAAGAAAAGCTTCAAATCAGTTTTGCTTAGCAAGTGAACACCTCCACCAACCGCTTCACCTTTGTGTTTTCCAGGTAGAATTAAAAAAAAAAAAAAAAAAAAAGTTTGTTATTCCTTAGGAGGTGTTTGTCCACGAGGGACAATTCCACCTGAAGGTCATGGCTTAAACATTAGCAGCAGAATCCTTACACCTTGGTCCTGTATTGCACTCAATTTCTTACTCTGGTTTGGTATTTAACCTACGGCTCCCAAGCCACAAAAAAAAAAAAAGGAACAAACAAGTGTTAGATATGAAGGCTACAGAAAACATTGTATAGACTGGTTGAGCTTGTAGTTAGATTATACCATTACCTAGGGAACTAAAGAACTAAGCTGCCTTACCTACTCCTGAGGAGAAAAGGTGCCTTCGGACAGAATGCCTTTCCCTATCTATACAGAAATTCATCATTTAACCCCGCAAAGAGTGTTTGGAGAGTTCAGGGAAATGAAGTCCAAAGTAAGTCTGAAACATCCCATCTCTCGGCCCATCCTGGTCATCCATACCGTTGGGTGGAGGTAATGAGTTCCAGCTTATACTGACACTGAACACAATTTAGAGACAGAAAAGCTGCCAAGAGAGAGGACACTATGCCCGCTTGTGTGCATCTTCTGTAAACAAAAAAAAATCCCTCCCCAAAAGCAGGGAGGTACATAGTGTGAAGGTTTCAGCAGCGGGAAGGCAGGGTCAGCTGTACCAGAGGACTTTGCAATACATGCACTTTCCACGTTTAGTCTTTTAACGTAAAGGAAACTGGAAAAGAAAGACCTGAGGCAAAGCCCTGGCAGCTCACAGGTTCTCCTGCATCCTGTCAGTCGTTTCCAGCTCTGCCAGCTGCCTCCTCAACGCGTTCACCTTTGCCTGAAGTTCCCTGTTGTAGTTTATGATGTTGAGCACTTCTTCCTGGGCTTCATCGAGGAATTTGGAAGGCCTGTTCCACCGAAGGAAGACACCTGAAAGCCAAGAGACAGAAAAAGTCAGGAGGCTTTTTTGTTACAGCAGGGAAGTGCATACAACGTATACATTTTTTTTTCTTAAAAACAGAAATCTCCCCTAAACAGCACTTAGCAATACTGAACCTCCCGAGTTCACCTTTCTAGTAAGCAAGGTTAAAATATAAAAGCATTTTTTTTGCCTTCCTTTTTTTCCTCATATACTGACGAAGACCAATCCATGTTTAGTCTCTAGCTTGCCATGACTGCCTGCTGACTACATTGTCGTTAACTTTTTAGCAGACACAGAAAGGAGAAAGTTTCTGCAGCAGAAAACCTACTGCACAAACAACTCATCTGTTGGCAAAGAAAACTGAGAAAGAAGTCTTTTTTTTTGTATAGAACAAAAAACTGAGGCTTGCAGAATATATATAAATAAAGCCACATCACTGCCGAAGTACTGTGCTAAAAAGTTAAGTGATACTAGGAAGGCTTGGTACGATCCCAGGCAAAAGAACCTGCCAAACTCTGGGAGAAAGCATTACACTTCTGGGGATGCCAGAAATATTTTGGAATAGATTTCAAAGGGAGTGAGATCACCACCAGCTGGACCAGCTGACAGACAATAGGAGTGGACAGAAGCTTTATGAGCAGCCACAAGACACACGGAAACAGAAAAAGAAAACCTGTAACAGAAAAAGGCAGGCTGCCTTACCTTCCCAGAGCTGCAGGCTCTGCGGGGCAACAGAGGGCCAGATGACAAGGCTGTTGGCCTCAAAAAGAGGGTTCATGAATCTGGCCAGCTCTTCAGACCGGTTCACCCAGGACCACAGGGACATGGTCTTTTGTGTCAGCTTCAGCTTAGACCTGGTAAACCCAAAGGACCAAATTAGCTTTTGGTTTTCTACTGTTAAGACTCATTTTGTTTTGTCAGAAACGTGCAGATTAGGCTGCCACAGGCACTCCTGTGTGCTACCAGCCTAGACAAACCAAGGGTGAACACTCCTGCTAATCCTTTCCATACCACTCCTCAACAAAGCTTGGGGTTGGTGGAAACCTGAAGCGGTTTACTCAGCAATGCCTTTCAAAGAAGAGATGAGGAAATAACATTTACAACTTGGGTGGGAGTTAGTTGCCTTCTGTCCAGGTGAAGAATCAGTCACCTCCCCAAAAAGGCTGGCCTGCCAGGTTTTAGAAAGGGATTTAATCCTTCTGGTAAAACAGTATTAGTGCTAGAATTGTGCAATGGGGACGTCCCGTTGGGTCCCTCTGGTGGCAGGAAGCATCAGAGCACAGAAAAGTCCACGTTCCTAGGCCAAATCCACTTCCCAGAGTCAAACAAGGGTTCTCATTCCCTGAATTCTGGCAAACCTCATTCTGACTGAGCTGCCACCCAGGCAGGAGATTCATCATTCCTGTGAATACTTCACGCAGAACAAGCCTGACATCAGACTTCAAACATTTTCTGCTCACAGCTGGACATCCAAACGTGACAGGCAGGTTACTACATGTAACATTCAGTACTCCTTCAGATTTCCTTGCGCTAGTTTTAAATCTGATACAGCTTTGCAGCCTGACCAGTTGAGCAGAAAACAGGAGAGTCTCTTCTAAAAGCAAAGGTTACTTGAAGGGCAGAGAGGTTTCTAGAAAGTTTCAAACTGCCTTTTTGTATTAGCAGCTCTATTTTTTCCTTCTGCTCCTTCAGTGATCTTCAGTTTAGCGGGAGACCAACAGACACGGTCTTACTGGAGTCTGAAGGGCTGAGAACAGAAGTGCCTAAGATTAAAACAGGAATTCAAACCTCTGGCTGCTGCCAACTATCTTGGGAGGCTCCTGGACTCCGGAATTGCCCCACTGGTAGAGCACAGCATCCAAATGGGACTAGAGTTCAGAAGCTAGGTCTGCTCAAGTGCCTTAAAAGCCACAAGGAAGCTCAGCAAGAGGCCTAACACTACCTGGCAAGGCAGACTCCAGCAGAACACATCTCAGCTGCTTCCTTTTAAAAAAAAAATCACAAGTGCACCCATCTGAGTGTTCATAGCATGCACTCAGAACTTCAGCACAGTAAATTCACATTTCTCTAAGGTACAGGTTATATCTAAAGGGATTTAGGGTCCTTCTGTTGAAGTTTTACTACTGTGCAACCAAAAAAATACCCAGAACCTCGAGGACATGAGTACATCTCGATCCTCGAGATCATGAGGACAGATCCTCGTGAGAGAATGTCTTCCATCGTTCTCTACCTCCAGCAGTTAAAGGACGATATAAAAAGCAAATCCTCCGTTTCCTGGGGGTGTTGGCTATAAAGCCACATCCCTGTCTGGCAGCTAAGAGCCAAACTTTGCAGCTTTGGCCCGTGCCTGCCTTGACCTTCTCCTCCAGGCCGATGCTGAGCAGCTTGCTTTGCACAGCTAAGGCTTACTTCACTGTTGAACTCTCATCATTTATTCCTGCCCAGAAAGCGTTTCTGTGTAAGGGATTATATAAGGAAAGGTGGAGGATTTTCAAGGCCACGCAGGGAACAGAAAAGACAACCTAAGGTAATAGTTTGGACTCGGAGAAGGCAAATTCTCACTGACCAAGCCGCAAATTCCTTTATTCACAATGTCCTGATCGTAAAAGGGAAAAATCCCTTAATATTGCCACCGATCACTAACTGTAAAAACCTCACCTGCATTAAGGAAGACCACACAATCACCTTTTTTGGGCCTATAAACTTTTTTTTTCTTGCCAGATACAGGCTGGTATTTACAAGGTTCAAAGTAAGCATCCTCACCAACCTTTCATTTTCGTTGTTTCCCAGGAAAGTCCCGAACTGCGAAGCATAAGCATGTTCAAAGAGCATAATAAGGAATTGTTCGTTGAATTCGAAAGAGCAAGGGAACTGACGCAGGATTTGCCACACACAGTCCAAAAAGAGGAGGAACACCGGGGCCTCCCACTTCTGCTTTGTGTTCGAGTAGGCTGACTGGGCACAACGCAGCTGAAAAGGATGGCCAGCCTAGAGAGAGCATCACACAAAAATAAAGGGACGTAAATACACATAGCAAGGATTTCAGAGCCAGTTCTGTCCACGCACCTACTCTATTCCTGTTCTTTTCTACAACTGTTGCTTCATCAAACATCCAGTGATAAATTGCTAGTGAGCACGAACTAAAAAGGCATGGAAAAAAAGGCATTTCTGTCTTTTTTTTTTTTTTTTTGGCTCTGTAGCCAGCACTGTATCAATCAGAGGATTTTATTAAGAGCAAACTAGTGTAGGGGCACTGAAGGACCGGTCTGAGGACATCAGCTGCAACAGCACGGAGCAGAATTAAAATTTTGTGTTTCTAGTATTCTAAAGAGACGTGCACCTTGGGCACACAAGAGGCAGCTCCCTCAAACTGGAGAATTCAGATGAGAGATACAAGCCCCGTGGAACGCCAGAGGTACAGATGACTCAGTACTAATGGTGCTCCTTCGGACAAGGGCTGCTCACACGAAGCAGGGCTGCGACAAGGCCCAACTTGTTTGCTGCCTCTCAGGCCATTTCTCAACACAAGTGGGAACAGAACAGATTGCCGTTCTATCCCCAGGTACTCACCTGCAGCCACTCCCTCACAACGAGAGCCTCAAAGCCACGTATGGTCCTGCACCTTGGATCCAAGATGATCTGTGCCAAAGAAGTCACCTGGAGTGTCGAATCCGTTCCGTCAGACCCATGAACCAGCACGGACGCACCTTCCCTGTGAGAAAGGTGGGAAGGAGTAACAGTATGAATGAGTAAAACAGATCCTGTACACATCAGCATCACAACAGACCTATGAGATTCTTGTTTACACCCAGGCTTAAGTACATTTACACCTTAACTGGGGTTTACTGTAAGAAAAGCCAATAAGCCAGTGCAGGAGAAAGAAGAGGTAGAGCTTGGTGTCCAGAAAGGAAGATGAATTGTTTGCACTGAGCAAGGAAGCTTGTATAAGAGCCGAGCACAAAGGCTTCCCACCTCACCATCAGCACAAGTGAGGCAGGAGAACAACGTGAGGAACGGATTGAAACGGGACAGTCTGGGGCAGGAAGGGTTTTCTACATTGTTGGGGGCCCACATGCTGTCACTCCCCACACCCTAGTTGTCACTAACACAACTGATTTCCTCTCCTCTGCTTCCATCCGTGGCTGTATTTGGATACATTATCCAAAACTAGTTTAAGTACTCCTGAATTAAGGACAGGATGGTATTGAATTGCATTTACAACCCTCACTCCTCCCAAACCTTGACCCACTGCCTCACTCCTGCCACCATCCTTACACCTAGCAAGGACATTAACTGCAGGCTGGATTTATTTCTGTGCAGAGACCCAAGCCAATCCACGAAGTGTGGGTAAACCAGATCAATCTACCATGCTGCAGACATCACCTGCTTTTTGAACTGAAAAAGAAAACAAAAAAATCTGTACCTTAAACATTGCAACATCTTTGTCCACAGTCCTATGTCTAAAATAAACCCAGAGCCTCTACAGTATAGATAATCTTTAGATACTCTCCTCCTCCCCCAGGCAGTGGCAGAGGCCCCTTAACTGCAAAGCTCCACTGCCAAGCCTGTGTGCTCCCCAAGTGAGGCACTCCAGGAACATTTTTCACACCTTTCTGGCCTTCAGAATTTAAGATATGACAGGGATCTGCCCCAGCCACTCCCGCCGTGGGGCCAATGTAACTAAACTGTTCTCATCAGCTCACCCATAACCACCAGGCTCTGTGCAAGGCAGGCCAGGCTTCAGGTCCGAGCTGGCATGTCCTAACTCCAGGCAAACAGAAAAAGCAAAGAGGAGGTGAAAGATGACAAAACTGCCTACAACAGCAAGCCGGACGAGTTTCGTCACCGATCTTTCTCCCTGTACACAAGGGGAAAGAGTTCCAGATAAAGCTATTGATCAAGAGCAATCATTCCCTGGCACAGCCTGTAACTAAGCAGACGCTGTCAGTGCTTTTAAAAAGCACCGCAGCTCATGTTTTAATGCAGTAATGCTATTTTACCAATGAGACTGCATTTCATCTTGTTTATGTATCTGTGTAACCGATTTCCTAACTGTTAGGGAAAGCTTAAGGTTCCCTGAGCTTTGAGAAGGGCCTTCCCCTTTCAGACCCAAGACCACCACATTTATACCCCTGCATTTGGTTTTACAAACCCTGGCACCTGACCGTTGGTTTTCACTCTCCAGTCTGAGACATGAAGAGATTCTGAGGACAAGCCAGTGAAATCAGCAGGATTTATTAAGCGTCAGGTTAAAAGAGGTCACAAACACTTATAAGGGATGAGCAAGATTGCTCAGATATGACTAAAGAGTTAAGAATTTTGAGAGCAAAAAGCTCTGGACCAATTCCTTAGGAAAACAAAGAAATGCCATTGGTTTAGTCTTTGGAAGTGGAGTATTGGAAACTTTCAGCCGAAAAAAAATAATGTATTTTTTAATAAGACTGTTCCTGCTTTGCTGGGCTACCACACAGTATTTCAGATGGGCGCATTCTCACCTAAACCTTCAGTAAAACAAACTAAATCAGAGGGGCTGAATCAGATGTAGGAACAGATGTCACCTAGCTGATCTAGTATCTATTCCCAGTCAGCGTTTCCTCCCTCAGGCTTGTACTCAAGAGTGCAAATCCAATGGAACATTCCTCCACCACGATGACGAAATAATATCTTGCAAAGCTGCAAGCAAGCTAAGTCATGGTGCCAATTACTAATGGTCTAAATGTCACCTGAAGAAAACAGAGTATTTAATAATTAAACTGTAAGAAGTAAATGAGAAACTTAAGTTTTTTTTAAAAAAAGCTTTACCTGTCAATGCACTGAGCGGCAAGACAAGCTGCTGTTAATATCTCCTTGATGTGAGTCAGCCAGTTGGAAGCTTCCAGCTTACTGAGCCAGCGGTCCATGTTGTGTGACTGGTCATTACAAGCTTCCACGAGTTTGATGAGGCTTTCCTGCAGAATATTAAACCTTCGGGAAGAGCAAAATATTGTTGAAAATATCAGCAATATCACAGCAACCAGGGCAATGCACAAAAACATCCTGATCTCAAAATTCAGCACCAAGACTTGCGTGCATTTACAGCAGGAAGTATGACCCCACAGATGTTGGAGCTCGTCACGCTGCAAGCCTGCTTTCACTGGAAATCCCAAACTGTGGCTAACTGCCAAAACACCACTCTTTGGACACAAGCAGCCTCTTTACTTTCAAAACAAATTGCTCCATGAGGTGTTACAACAGTGCAGCCTTTTCCTTCTCTTACCAGAGCTCTGTGCGTGTTCAGCCACAGGAACATTTCACATGTAAGGTGTGTTGCAGGAGCCTTACTCCCATCACCAAATACGAGTGTTACTGCAGCCCAGCATGGGCACTAGCAAACATCTACCAGGCTTCAAGTGCTGCTTTGTTCTTTCTACTACACTACAAGTTTTAACCTGCAGAGCTGCAACCCCACTGTAACACAGAAAATTTTAGAGTAGACTCAGTTTCACTATGCAGAGCCATGCTAAGATTAAGTTTGGCTACATTCTGAAGAACGTTAGCAAGATGTAGCGGGAGGAAGGCCAAATTTTCACTTCTACAGTTGTTGCAGGATGTCCTCAAGCCCTGCAAAGCTGATATCCTGCATACAGCTGCTTCTCTGGTCCTATTTGACACTACACCTTCCAGGGGCACTGAAGTACTGCTGGATCAAATGACACTTCAACACCACGGATTCCACCGTGTGGTTTCACCCACCTCTCAATACACTTGTGAATCCTTCTCCACTGGGGGTAGTACACTTCTTGTTCAAAGCCCCCTCCTTTGGCCCTGGCCTGCTGGGCAACGTTCAGGGACCTCGTATCGATGATGTAGCCACGCTTTCCAGGCCGCAGCGTGGCGTTAATCAGCTTCTCATCTTCTTTACACCGCCTGCCATTTGTACCCGTCAGAGGCTGGCTACTTCGCATCATGACCTGTGAGGAGGACAAACAACCATGAATTAGGAGACAGAAAGGCTTAAGACCTGGGGCTCAAGTCATCTGTGGCTTTCAGTTTAGAACAAAATCCTCCTCGAGTTTGAGTCACAACATCTAGATGGTCAAACACGCTGATCTGCGCAGCCTGATGCACAGAAATACTGGCACAAATTCCTCTGGTTCTTCAAAAAGCTGCTATTCCCTCTTGCTCTGAATCCTTCGGTTCTTTTCTTCAGTTCTTAAGTACAATTACTCACAGGGACAGAATTTGTTTAAAAAAATAAAATAAAAATAGAAATCGTTAAGTTGTGCAATCACTTGGCTGGACACTTCCTAAGTTACAGAGTAGTTCTTTATTCCTGTAGAATAATCTTTGCAAGCCACTGAACTGGCTCCCTGCTGCTGCCTCCTTTATAAACCAACATTTCTAGGCTGCTCATTCTGATGGGCTCTTTCCAAGTCCATTTTTACAGTATCTTAGTCACTTATATACTAACACTATTAGACACAGTTTTACTCAGTGGCTAGGCTAATAAATCCCAGTTCAACAGGTTTATTAGCTGAGATTTCTTTGGTAAACACTTTTTAAATCAGGAAGCTATTGCATCCCAACAGCTCCAACAACTAAAAGGGGAGGGCAGCCAGTTGGCAACCCCAGCTATAGTTGAGAACTCAAAGCCAGGAGAGCAACATGACAGGCAGCATTACTGTCAGTTCAAGCACTGAGCCAAATGCTACTGTGCTCCTCACACTTGATACACGCACAATTCAGAGGGCTAACTGAACACGTCTTCCTTCAAGAGTTTTCACTCAAGCAGAAAAAGAGCAGAAAATGCTACTTAGGAAGGTGGTGGAGAGCTGATTTTAAAAGCAAGGCAAAAAAAAAAATGAAGGTAGCACAGTGCTGGGTCAGATTAGATGTCCTCTCACTCAGGCCTTACAAATCTTGGCAACAGGAGGCGAGAACACTTAAGAGAATTTGACTCAGAAGCGTGCATCGAGGCTGCAAGCTGCCAGCGGAACACCCCAGCATCCTCAGAACAAGTTACATCAGCAAGAGAGACAGAGAATTACCCACCGATTTCATAAAGTGCATTTCTTAATTACAGCGCATCGGTGCCTCAATTAGATTTTGGCTCACTGAGAGGCGGCGAAGTCTGCGACAGCAAGAATTTGCTCTTCCCAAAACGTGTTAAGCTGAGAGGCTGGGAGAACAGATTGTTCCCATCACTCCATCGACAGTTACGCAGCAGAAGCGGTGCTGGCTGCGTGCACGCTTGCTGTCATCGTGCCTCCGTTGCAGAAGAGCCGGCCCACCACCCAGAGACATGACAAGTGGTTTCTGCCATCCCTGCAGCGTGAAGCCTCTTGGCAGACAAAGCAAGAAAGGGTGCCAGCGGTGGCTTTACAAGCTCCCAGCACTAAGAGCAAGATGAGACAAGCTCATGCCACGTACGCGCCCAAACAAGCAGGCTAATAGCTATTTCTAGGATGGAGATTACTCGTTCCGTCACCCAGAACCAGTTTCACTTAAAAATAAGCTGGAAAATAATGAGTGAATGTCTCATGAACTGCATTGAGGCTAGAGCACAAGCTGTTCTGCTCGTTAAGAGAAGCTGACAAGATTTGAGCAGGTTCACATGGTTCCTTCAGGTACAACCATCAGCCACCCCAACTTACCATCCCGTTCTTCTTATGGTAGTAGCTGAGGACTGGGAAACGACCGCCATAGCGAAACAGTGCGACCTTCCGGAGCGCTTCGTCATCGATGCATTTGGGGACGATAACAACGGGAGGGTAGGTGGGACAGACAGAGAAATCCTTGTTGGCACAGCTCAGACGCCATTCATCTGTCTGAAAGGGAAGAAATTGCAAGGGTTAGGTCAGAAAACAGAATATTACCGCTTGAGTGAAATGTAATAGCAAAGAGGAACTTCCATACTCGGAACAAAGCGCGCACACACGGTGATCTGTTCCATCTGCACCACAGATAAAAGCTCAGTTGTCCCCGAGCATAATCACTTCTGCTCACCCAGGACTCTGAACCCCCCTGTGAGAGCGTAACTACACCGATCAGTCAGATCAAAAGCCTAACACGCACGTATCACAGAAGGTATGCTCCTGCCCAGCCCCTTTAGGGCCTTTTTACAGGTCTGCTGACCAATCCTCCCACGCCAAATCTCCTAATGTTGTCTCCAACCACATCGCGTAGCTGCAGCTCCCAGAAGCTCGTTAACCAGCACGCAGTCATCTCTCCTGCTGCCAGCGAAACTTTGTAAGATCATCCTGGTTCCTGAGGGATTTGTTCCACAACAGCTCCCCATTTAGCTGCTGCTGCCGTGGTCAGAAAGGAATTCGGTGCATTAGCAGACAAATCAGCTCCAGAAGACAAAGCTGCTTTGAGGTTCAAAAGTTGCAACTTAATACTTCCAGCTTGTTTTTTTTTTTCCTGTGGGCTCTGCTTAACATAAACCATGGCAGTTCTTCCTCCAGAAGCACTTCCTAGAACCACAGCAGTGTCTGAGCACCAGGCTGAACTCCCGTTACATAATTTTTCAGCTCCCAGCAGCCAAACATTTGTGAAAGAACCCACTGAACATCGGCACCCTCCAGCTGGCCGCTGGTATTTCTGCCAGGCAGCTGGCACTGAGCTCAGGCTAGAAGGTACGCAGGGTCAGACACAAGCCTAGGCTCCACCTCAGGCAAAAACCAAAGGTCAACAAGTGGTCTCACTGACAAAAAGCCCTCACGGATTTTTCAAGGGACAGATTTTGAGTCAAGGCAGAGCTCCGGTCTCAAATGCAGCTGCACTCAGCAGCAAAGAGGCTGCTCAGCAAGCAGTAGGTCCATCAAGTGGCTGCGAGGCACACATTTTTGCCAGAGGCGCAGAAAACACAGCAGAGCAGCGCCTAAAGCTTGGCAGGAACAGAGCTCGGGGCGCCTGGTAGCAGGGTGGTGGCTTTGCTAGGCTGCATGTTCAGTCCTTGGGTTCTTATTCTCTAACTCCTTACAGCCAACCAAAACTGCTGACAGAAACCTAGGTGGAAAAAGTGACCCAGAAGCCTCTAAAGCATGTTTGGAGTTTAACAACAGCGTTAACCTCTTAAGAACAGCAGCAAAACGACAGTTGGATTTGCCTGTAGAAAGCTCAAGGCAAAAAAATTAAAATGAAATCAAGTCTTTTGAAGAGGAACAGGCAGCTGCTATTAAGGTCTTTTTTTTAATATTTAGTTACCAAACAGGACACAAGCGTAAGAAAGCAAATAAGACCCCGAGTAATTCCTCAGATGAGGCATTTTTGGTACGGACCAGTAAAAAGTTGTGCAACTGCAGCAGGCAGAAACCTCAAAGATGCTGTAAAAAACTGCCCGTTTGTGTTTAGAGAAAGCTTCAGCTAGACAAAAAGTTACAGGAATAAAGCAGGTATCAGAGGAAGAGAACAGCATGACAGTTAAGTTTTCCAGTAACAGAACACAAATTAAAACAAAAATTGATTCAGAAAGTTTGGATTCACATGCACTAACCGCACAACTCTGACCAGAAAGGTCTCTTCTCCTCTTTCCTTTTACAAAGGCGTACTTTCCCGTGCCTGTACCTGGTTATACAAAGCAATCTGCTTGCCTAGCTTGTCTAGTAGAAATATAGGATTGAACAAGAAATGCTTCTTGCAATGAAGTATCTCCTCCAGACAAACACAGCAATCTGATTCATGACAATTTCACAATCAACAGATGCAATACAAGAGATGTGGGGCCTCGGATGCAGCAAAATTGTCTCCTTCGGTGGCAGCCTAAGAAAAAGATGCTGGAAAGCACACATGTGGCTGTTATTGTCACCAAGAACAGTGCTCAGCACTGTGTTCAGCAGCCTACCTGAAGACCTACAGGTCTTGCAGCAGCCCTGTTGTAAGCTTATTTCATTATCCATTAACCTCAAAACAGCTCCTGTGAACAGCTAGGTTTTACATGGTAAAGGCCCTCCCTTTTTCAGAATTAAATTGCCTCTGGCAATCGTGTCACAGGCAGAGATGAAACAGTGTCTGGATCACAGAAGGGAGGTTGGCCGGTCACAGTTCGTGCTTTTTTGTGCCAACAACCATGTTTTTACAGCTTTCTGGGGTGCCGGTGTCAAATTACAGTAGATTTCATACGATGTGCAATTTGTCCACAATTTAAGAAGTGTGAGTGACACAGGAATGAACGGAAACACCTTACTGTTACGTAAGACATAGGGAGGGCAGAATCAAAACCTTGTAGCATGCTTTTTGAAAGTTTGGCCATCACCAATAACACCAACACGAGAGGAATAGAAGAGTATCGACCTGATTTATCTCCCACTTGGTAACTTAGCTCTGCTCACAACCTCCTCTCCTCACCATTTATAACACGGCACAGACAACACTGTTGTGTCAGCCAGTTATAATTCAGTGACAGTAAAACCCAACAGTGCAAGCATCTTCGTGGATTTTACTTGGGATCTCTGCAATTTGGAAAAAATCTGCCATTACTAATGGGCAGAGTGAGGGATTAGCAATTCAGCCACGTGTTGTAGAAGACGCAGAGGCAGGAAGCAGCACAGAGGGCAGGGAAAGAAGAGGTGGACCTCATCTTCACGCAGCAGATTATGCTGCATGAACTCAGAGAAAGTACAAAGTTGCCAGGAGAAGTAACTGGTAATCTAGAGACCCCAGCTTTAAGGATTCAGGAAAAAAAGACAAATTCCAGTTGAGGTTGAACTGACAAAGGATCACAGGGGAGAGGACCCCAAAGGAGGAACAAAAAAGTAGTGAGGAGTGTTTTCCTAAACACCGTGCAGGATTAACTTTCTCTTCTTTCTACTTTGCCTGTCCTGGTACTCATTCAGACAGCAATTTTCAAATGTTACTGTACTGGAAAACTAAAACTACAGTTATTCTTCCTCCCAAGAGCTTGCAGTTGATAGAAAAGGTAATTTTCAACAAAACTGTGTAAAACAACAACAAGCCTTAGAGGACAGTTCAAGAAGCCTTCACAGACCTAGAAGAATCCTGCAAAGCAGTGACAACAGGTCAGTACCTAGGAATGCACAGAAGGCACCAAGCCCTGTAACAGAGGGTGCAGAGACAAGAAGCAAAACAGACACAGGCAAAGATTGAAGCTTGTCTATCACCTGTATTTCACTGTTATCTGCTGCACTGCAAGCTGAGACCAAAACCAGAAAATTCAGCTGTTTTTAAGAACTCCAAGACAGAAGATAAACCAGCTGAACTGCCCAGAACCCTTAGCTTTCCTACACTGACAACAGAATTAAAAATAAATAAAAAAAAAGGGGGCAAAGAAACCCAGCTCCATGGCAATGAAACATCTTCAGGTTGACTATTCTGTGAGTATATAAGCTCCCCAGGGCCATTCCCTCACCCTGAAGAGGAAGGTGAGTTTTCAGAGTTACAGCTCACAGTACCCTGCAACGGTAGGAGCTGGCAGAAGGGAAACTTCTCCATCCTGACCTATGAGCTTTTCCTCGACTCCTCAGAAGGAAATTAAATATTTTCATTGCACATACTCTAATTCCATTCAGTTATGCAGGAGCACAGTGAGGAATGCGATTTTCTTTAGAAGAAATTTCACCTGATGTACCTGTAGCCAATCCAGGTCTCCTGTACCCAGTGCCTCCAGAAAAAAACAACAGCTGGATAAGCAAACATCATCTGTCCTGTGCATTCTTTGCTCCTTTCAGATTTATCCATAGTATCTTTAAAGTCTCATCTCACAGTAATTTGGAAGCACAACACAGCCAGATGGATGATTTAAGGGAGAGGGAAGTAAGCTTCTGAATTCCACTCATTTGACTTAAGAAAATCGGCCATTTACTTGTTCTGGCCTGTCCCAGAATAAAGTTTAATCATAGAACAAGAAATATTTGGTCAACAACATTTTTTATCTGTTGTTCAGGAAAGTAAGTCACTTAACGTGGCTTTTGTGACCATTTCTTGGAAAAAAAAAAAAAAATTTGATCTGAAATTCTAAGTTAAAAGCCCAGAATTAATCAGCAGCTGCTAGGTACATATATTTTAAAGGAATTAATCATTAAGTTTTTAATTAAAAAGAACAATTCCTGGGAAGGAGTATATTCGTATTTCTTAGCAGGAATCTATGTTCAGAAGACAGACACGAACAGAACCATCTCCTGCAAGCTTCCACTGAGCTTTGAGGGACCTCCTGCTGCTCTCAATCCTGCTCTTGCAAGATCTCCCTTCTCACCAGAGGGCACACTTCCACTTCTTGCCTTCTGCTTCTCCCTGAAATGCCTCTGTGAGCTGGGAAAACATCCGCTGCTTTGCCTCCAAACAGGAGAGCACTCTGATCTTAGGTTTGACTCATCCAACCGAATTAAAACTCAAGCTGTGGGGTTAGTTATTAGAAAAGGTCAGGTTTTATTACTTTTGACAGCAGGTGAAGATGGAACACACATCTAATTATGGGACAAAAATAGAAAGACCCCTAAACTTTAATTTTCTGATTTCATCGGATGAATCTGGCCGAGCTAATCCGATTATTCAGTTATTAGTCATAAACAGGAAGTGACGAATCCTGCAGACAAGCCGGGCTGCATATTTAAAAAAAATAATCAATGTTCTTTGATGCTGTACTAATGGATGTGGTCTCAGGAACATCAGCGATGCAGCAAGCTCGCATATCTAGCGCGAAGGACTTGGAACACAGAAATGCAAACCCAAGGCAGTATCAAAACAGGTGGAGTCCTCCAAGGGAGGCAGCTCCTGCTGCACCAAATTCAGCATCGTAAAATGAAGTCTGAGGTACAATACGCAATTCTGTAAGGACAGTTCCTACTCTAGAGGTACCAAAATTGTATCAATGTGTGTTTACAGCACCTGGAAACGCCCTGCCTTGTGAACCCTGCCAGTATTTCCCCTGCGTGAACTAGAGCTATGAGTAGTTTGATTTGGGCATGCACACTGTCATCTTCCTAGAGAGCTATGAACTCATTCGTCATTTTTAAGTTTTTGTTTGTTTTTCAAGACAGCCTTGTTTCAGTTCAGGGGTTGACAAAGATTCATCCTGCTCCAGGGGAAAACTTGACTTGAACAAACCCAGAGCAAAGGCCCTGTACTCATTCTTACAGCCACGAAGCCATCCCCAGAGGACAAACATTTCCTGAGTTCTTATTTCCATTTCCACCAGTTCAAAATCTGAGTTCCAAACAGGATTTTTTACCATGAGCAGAAATGCCTGACGTTTACAGAGAGCACCAGGAACATCACTCATTTTCCACCCAGGCACTGTCAGCTATTACAACCCACAGAAGATTTCCAGCCCAGGCACTGGGTGAAACACTTCAGTGTCTGTGCAACCCTTTAGGTTCAGCTTACCACCGAACTGAGGAGCTCAAACTCTTGTTCAGGCAGGTAAGAACGCCAGCCATCTTCAACGACTTCAAACATGGGCCGGTAGAAGAACGGGTACATGAGGGTGATCGAATCCAACGTGGAAAGCGCCTGCGGGAATGAGAGAAATAAACAGGTGGTTAAAAATCACTCAAACTCCTGTTTTACTCCTAAAACACAAAGGACGCGGTGTTTTCCTCTAATACTGTTGATGCAAGCTGAAGTCATCCAAAAGAACTAAACTATTAAATTTGAAGTACTAAGTTTACCTGCAGGGTAGTTTAGAACAGAGTAACACAATAAAAAAAGAGATAAGAGACAACTTAACCACAACTGGGGATTTGTCTGCACAGTATCACTCGTGCAGGCTATGCTATTTTACAGTGCAACAGAGAATGAGGACAATGCATCCTGAACAGGTATAAGTAATGGGATACCTCCTATATCCTACCACTGAGCTTTAAACTCAAAGAGTCAGTTGTTAATGCTGTTGGAGATGCGTGAAAATTTATTTGGTCTGATTTGTTTTCACCTCCTCATGCTCCACCCTAACTCATTTTCCCAAATGCTACTGGGAAATATTTGATTCAGAAGTGTTTTATTGTTTTTTTAAATACCTACAAGCAACAAATTTGTTTTAAAAATTCAAAAGAGATAATCTCACAATTCTCATTCGCCTTCCACAACAGCAGTGAGGACTTCCATGGCTGAGAAGAGCCAAGGCTGAGGTCTGAGAAGGTCTGAGAACCCAAGTGTGATTATCATCATGAATTCTTACCTCGATAGAGCTGGCGATGTTCAGGCACTCCTCCATGCCAGGGATATCCAGCTGAATGATTCGCAGATCTTTGCATTTTATAACGATGGTACCCAGCGAGCCCACAAACCTGCAGCAAGACAGGAAGAAAGAGCCTCTTAGGAGCAAGATCTTCTAAGGTCTGGCGAGGTATGAAGAGCTCTTCCCACAACACATGCCTGCAAGATAAAATTCCATTAGTAGTAATTCATCTGCAGTATATATGTAGATATATAACGGTTTGGGAAAGATGACAACAGAGAAATATTTGGTATTTTTCAAGCTGTGCTCTGCTTTTCCACCCTCGTGATGTGGCAGTGAGTGGACATATTACAAGATAGAGTTGGTTTTCACCGCAGCTTTGCTTTAAAATAAGCAAGAGAAAAGGAATGTTGTTGTTGTGATTTTTTTTCCCCCAATAAGTCTGGGAACTTCAGCTGGAAATCAACCCAGAAAAACTATGCCACAAAGCAAACACAGCACACAGACGCCCTCTCCAGTCCTTCCTGCAGATGTGAAAGGACTACATCTGAGCAGATAACGAGTGTTTTCCTAACGTTAAGTAGCCAGCAGCACTCACAGAAGCGACGCAGATTTTTGTTTGCGGAGCACTGAACTAAGGAAAATATGGCAGTGCTCACGGCACCCAAAGGTGATGCAAGAAACAGGTACAGGCAAGAAGTGAAGGACCAAGTTTCAGTCCCTTGGGGGACTAAGCAGGGGACAGACCACAGAAAGAAGGGCAGAGCTGCACCAGCTCTAAGAGCAAACTTGTTGCTACACTTTGGGTTGCTTCACCTGAGCTACAAATGTGCCTCTAATTTGTTCTGAAGTTATTATAGGTGATCTTCTGTGCAAGGAAAGGCTAAAGTCCAGAGCCCATTAGGATTTTAGTAGGTAGAACTTTAAAGAAAGGGATTTAGGCATTTTGACCAAAAATCATCACCAGCACAGCCAGTCTGTGCATCACACGTGCTCGCTGCAGCACTACTTCACAGATCCCCAAAGTAACAGCCACAGTGGGACTACTCTCTGTGCTCTAACATCACTAGAGCTACTCCTCCTTGCCCCAATTATTTCAGCAAAACCTCTACATAATATCACTACAAAGTGTTTCTCAACACACCCTACAGCTTACATTTAAGTTATAAAAAAAACTATGAAACACTGAAAACAGCTCAATGAGCACCTGATAAGTGGGGAAAACACCACTTTGCACAGAATATACTCACGTCACAGAGCTGGGAGAAGAGACTTGATGAACCTGATGTAGTACCACAGCTGTTAGGCACTAATACAGTGCCAAACTGCAGCTTTTTACAGTCTTTCTTGGTTTGAAGAGCCTTGTTATTCTATCCTCTCCAGCACTGAGAGGAATATAGTCTCCTTTCCTTTTACATGGAGGACTTTCGTTGCAATTATGCTCACAAAGCTGCTCTCGGGAGGGAGGTGCCCACTCTAGGGACCTTTTAGAAAATGGGGCTGGCAAAAAGGGCTGACTGAAGGACAGGCAGGCACAGCTAGCTCCGTTATAAATCATGCACTGAGTTAGCAATGCACCGCTCCCCAGCAGCAAAGCTTAAAATACTCCTTACTCCCTTCATGTTAACTTACATTTTAGGCTAAAAGAAGAAAAAAAAATATTATAGAGAAGGCTTTTTTTTTTTTTCAACTATGCCTGGTTTAGTACAAGCAGCACTGAGGACGTGGCCAAAGCACCCCGATGACTGAGCAGCAGCAGATGGGAGCAGATCTCCTTAGGTTTTACCCTGCTCTTCTTTACACTCAGGCCACAAAGCAACATTTATCCAACCCTGAAACAAATCAGAACAAACTTCATCTGTGACCAACACTTTAGCCATTCTGAGGAAGCCTGCTATCTCCAACTGCTGCTGCCTGGTCTTTCCTGCCTTGTTGTCAGAGGGGAAATGTATCTTCTGGATTGCTTTGAAAGATGATAAGAGCAGAGGAAGATGAGTTTTTAATTAAAAAATAAATATATATTATGACCAAACTGGAACAGGGGCTGTGCAGCAGACAACGCAACGACCAGATGAGAGGGGACTGGCAGTTAACGGCTTGATGGAAGCACAACGGGGCAGCAGAACACATAAAACTGACAAAAACTATGCTGAGATTTGTCTCTGAAGCTCCTGTAACAAGAGAGCACGGGCAAGACTAAAATGCTATTGGCGTGCTGTAGCTAAAATCCAGTTTTACCACAGCACTCTGGCAAGGAGCATGATGTGAAGGGCGTTATTGATTTTTATAAGGCGCTGGAGGAGTACGGGGATGACGCTGCCGAGCAGCTGGAGAGTGATGTGGGGCTGAGATAACCCATCACCTAGTCCTGCCATCACTTTTGCCTGGCAGATCCCTTTGGTAGGACCTCACCTTCCACTTCTGGTGGGACATTTTTTAGAATCGCAGAATCATTCAGGTTGGAAAAGCCCTCCATGACCACCTGGCCCAATCACATTACCACCAATGTCACCACCAAACCATGTCCCCAAGCACCACGTCCAACCTCTCCTTGACCACCCCCAGGGACGGTGACTCCACCACCTCCCTGGGCGACCCGTCCCAACGCCTGACTGCTCTTCCTGACCAGAAAAACCTCCTCATTTCCCACCTGAGCCCCTAATAACGGCACAAATTCGCCCCTCACCTCTTTTCCACGCAGTCGATGTTGGCGTGCAGCAGCCACAGCTCCTCGCCGCCCTCCTTGCGCCGTGACGAGAAGATGAGGTGGTGCCCGGTGAGGCACAGGGTGCCGCGCACCGCCGGGCACCGGGGGCCGTGCAGCACCGCGTTATCCGCCCGAGGCGTCTTGATCAGCTCCGCGAACTCCATCGCCACCGGGAAAAGGGGGAAAAAAAGAAGAAAAAGGGAACCTGAAGGGGGGCTCAGAGGCCACAGCCCCCGAGCCCCGAGCCCGCCGCCATGGCCGGGCCCTGGAGGAGCCGCGGCCGAAGCTTGTGGGGGACGCAAAATGGCGGACGCCGCCTGGGCGGGGAAGGGAAGGGAGGGGAGGAGAGGGTTCGGCGCGCAATGGTGGTTGCTGAGGAAGGTTCCGCGGGCTGACTTGTCCGCCCGGGGTGTGTGTGGGTGTAAATTGTAGTTGTCCCGGCCCTGTTGTGGGATTTTGGTTCTGTTAAGTCCTTACCCGCTGTTCTGTTATCCTCCCTTAGCCTGTGGGAAAAGGCTGCCCCCACCCCTGCAAGAAGCGGGGCTCCCACTTTCCTGGCTCTGCCCCCCTGCACTATAGGGGAAAAGGCAAAAGGGGAAAAAACAATAAGGGAAAAGACAATACTAGAGATGCGAACAAGCTTTGTGCAAAGCCCTGACACTGCTCTTCACCTGGGTGAAACCCCACGACAGCCATCACTGCTGCTCCTGGCTTTTTCCTCAGCACCCCCTTGACACCTTCGGGCCATGCCCACTTGCCCTTCCAAACCTGAGCCCCAAACCGTGTGGTGATCTTAGGTTTTCTGGTGCCTGTGCCCCTTGTACATCACCCAGTGCTTCATCCCACAACTTTCCTGGTGTCAAAGGAGCCATCTGTGGGCTGTAGGTGCTCCTTCATGCCATGAAGTGTGTCCCATGACATTGCAAACATGCGTGAGCTGGCAGTGAGGATGCAGAGAGGCATTTGTGCACTTTTCCCTGGGTTACTGCTGTGAAATAAATCACAGAATCACAGAATTGTAGGGGTTGGAAGGGACCTCCAGAGACCATCGGGTCCAACCCCCCTGCCAAAGCAGTTCCCTAGAGCAGGCTGCCCAGGGAGGCATCCAGACATATATCCTTGAATATCTCCAGAGAAGGAGACCCCACAACCTCTCTGGGCAGCCTGTCCCAATGCTCCGTCACCGTCACCGTAAAGTGCTTTCCCATGTTGGTGCGGAATTTCCTGGGCTCCATTTTGTGGCCATGGCCCCTTGTCCTGTCCCCACAAACACTGAAAAGAGGTTGGCCAAGTCCCTCTATCTCCCACACTTCAGGTATTTAAAAACATTGATGAGATCCCCTCTCAATCTTCTCAATGCTGAACAGCCCCAGGTCTCTCAGCCTTTCCTCACAGGAGAGATGCTCCAGGCCTCGTATCATCTTTGTGGCCCTCCACTGGACTCTTTCCAGGAGATCCCTGTCTTTTTTTTGTGCTGGGGAGCCCAGAACTGGACACAGTACTCCAGGTGAGGCCTGACCAGGGCAGAGTAGAGGGGGAGGATCACCTCCCTTGACATGCTGACCATGCTTCTTTTAATGCACACCAGGATCCCACTGGTCTTCTTGGCCACCAGGGCACACTGCTGGCTCATGGTCAATCTGTCGTTCACCAAATCACTGTTAGCAAAGTTCGAGACAGCAAACATAGCCAAAGATTGTCCACACACAGAGGCCAGACTAAACCTGAGGACCAGAGAACAGGTCTTGGCATGGGGTTCACTAAGAGTGGGGTTTCACCAAAATGAGGAAACTAGCAAGATTCATAACCTATTTTGAGGTGGATAGTGCTGAAATCCTACATTTACCCTGAGTGCTTGTGAGACTGAGAAGGGTTCCCAGGCAAAGGGCTTGGAGACGTGGGGTGCCAGTGCTGGCACAGAACCCTGGGTCTCGGTCACCTCAAGAAAATCAGTCCTCAATCTGCTTCATCTCTGGAAAAGAACAAAGCATGAAAATAATGCCAGACATGTCCGGGGTTCTCTTTGGAGGAGGTAAATAGCCGTTCCGTACCATCCTGCTTGTGATTACCTCGGTGATACAAGTTCGAGAGTGTTCAGTCCTTGCACGATGGAAACAGCCTGGAACTATCAGTGCAGATGCAAGCAGGCAGCTTTGGATGACAGCCCGTTCTAGGCAATTGCACAGGAGAAAGATTGTGCAGGTATTTAGGTACAGTGACCTGAAATTTTGTACTCACCTCTGGCGGCGAGTTCACTCTCTGTTTGTCCAGGTTCTTCCTTGCATGTCTTATTAATGCTGGCAGTTTAGGTGATTTCTTTATCTGAGAATTGGAAAGCTGCTTAATGGCATATTCTTTTCATAAACACATTCAAAAAGTCATAATAAGGAAGCTAAATGCTCTTTTGGCAGTGCTGGAAGTGACCCACATCAGCAGCAGCTCCAAAAGAGAAGAGAGGGTCCTCCTAGCTCTGGAGCTCCCAGGGTACAGGAGTCCCGTGTGTAACTTAAAAATGTATTTGCACTGTTTTTGGTCTGGTTCTGGGATGGCCTGCAAGCCGTACTGCCCTAATTCTCTCTGGATTTTACCGGACGGACTGGGAAGTCTTGTACAAGCCTACGGTTGTACAAGAAATCCCTACCTTAACTCAGCTAAAGAAACCTGGAAAAGAGACCAGAGGGCATCGGCTCAGAGCAATCAGCACACATTTTACCTCCTCTTATTTCCAGTTCCACCTGCCATCGCTTCTGATACCAGACCACAGGGAATGGTGAGGGTGATAGCCCTGTACATTTGCTCTGCTGCTCCCTTCCCATCCAGCCTCCAACCATCCTGTAGGGCTGGAGCCTCCAAGGCAAAAAAACTCAGTTTGGCATTTTTGGATGGCTGATGCTTTGGTGATGCCTTCAGCTCCAGAAGGAGCTCCGCACAGCTCCTTCTGCCTTGTGGCCATATGATGGGTATGAGCATGTGGCTGATGAAGCCTTGTGGTCCCCAGAAAAGTCTTGTGGTTTATTATTATTTTTTTTAATTGGTTGGAAACAGAATTGCTGAGGTACTAACAGGCCAACTCCTGTTCTTACCCCTACCATCAGAGTGGTTCCAAAGAGTGTTTATCAGTATGGTGATAGGCACTTTGTAAATAGAAATAAAAATATGAATAGAAATGCAAATACAAATAAAAATATGAATAGAAATACAAATACAAATATGAAATAGAAATACATATATATATATCCCTGTGGTCCTCAGTAGAGTCATGGCAATAGCAGGACTAAGGTCTTGGATGATCTCTCTCCCAGCTTGGAGAAAAAAAAAAAAGAGAGAGAGAAAAAGAAAAAGGCATTAAGTACAGTCCTCAAACTGGAGGCATGTTATGTGAACCAAAATGAGTGAAAGGTGCTTTTGAAATGTGTCTAATAAGAGGAGTAGCACTCACATGCCTCTTTCTTTTTACCTTTAGGGAAAATGAGATGCTAGGTGGCAAAGCTGAAAGGCTTCATAGCCAAAAAGCTTGGGCTTAAATCTATTTTCCTCCACGGAAAGCTCTGAGACCCCTGTTCCCTGAGGCTCGTTGTCCCTCCTGTGGAGCAAGGCCAGGAACGTTTGGGGCAGGCTCCTTCTTCTCCAGTATTTCAACACCTCCTGGCACAGCGCAGCCCCAGCGTCACGGTCATTAGGTGTCACTACCATCTCCTAAGAAATGGAGGATGTACAGAACGCGAGGAGGAGTACAAGGTGTCTCTTGTGCAATTTCAGTTGGACCCGCACACTGCATGGATGATGCTGGGCTCTATTCCCAAACCCACAGCTCTGTTCAGGGCAAGGAGAAACAACGGGCTGGGCTGCGCACACTGCAAACAAAACCACTTCTATGGTGAGGGGTAGTGGCTTCTCTGCACAAGAGGGAGCAGATGTACAGGTATTTGTGAGGTTGTGCTTGCTTCGTAATAGTACACATGGGTTAATCGGGGTTTTCCAGCTTCTGGAGGCTGGTAGCTAAAAGCCTCCTGAGAAACAGCATCCCCACCACGCAGGAGTAGCCTGCACATCCAGAAGGTGTCCAGGCAGGAGGAGATGCAGCTGAATCAGTGCCAAATGCCCAGCGATCCTCCTGCCAGGTCCCTAACGCCTGGCCATCTGCTCCGTGTCCGTCCCTTGTCATGCCAAGAGTTTGTCTGGCCTCGACAGGAGAAGGGCTCTTCCCACGTCCTCCTTTCTGGCTGGGGAGCACCATCAGGAGCTGTCGGGTCTCTGGCCACTCTTCCTGGGTGGAAAGTGGTTCCTGGATGGAGGTTCCCCACCCACAGGAGGTGCCACGTCTCCCAAATGGCAGGCAATTTGCCTGATGTTGAGCACTTCAGCGAGCAAGGTTTTCTCCCCTACATGTGCTCCTATCAGCAGGGTTTTGCCAGCGAAATCCAAATCACAATTGGCTGCAGAATGCCAGAGGATCCCCCTCCATCTGCTGCAGTCCTGTGCCCATTTGCCCCTTGGAGAAGCACGAGTAATCGTTTAGGGCTGTGCAGCTTGCTTGTTTTCATTCCTGAAATAGGTTGGGATTTTATTATCCTGATACCCTCTGATGTTCAACCTCTGATGTTTTCCTAGGATGTTTGTGGCTGAAAACCACCTGAGACTGCAGCGCCCGCATCTGTGGTGGGAAATTCATAGTGCCAGGGCAGCCGCGAGGCCAGCTGGCATGGCCATGTAGAGGATACATGTATTAAGGTCTTCTGGCTTCCCCAAAAGGGGTCAGCTTGATGGGTGTCAGTGCCTCTGCTAACTCTTGAGGTCTGCCCAGGAGAGTTTGGGCAATGCTTAGTTTAGTTTCTATTTTGTGGTGCTAGTATGTTGTTCTTCTGTTCTTTTGCAGGGATTTCTAGTGAAGCTTTCCCATTTTGTCATAAGGAAGGGGGGATCAGAGTCATGAGACTCTACATAAAGTCCATAAATCAGAAATTTATCTTTTTTTTTTTTTTTTTTTTACAAAGCTTTTTGTCTTTTCCACCTTGAGGTGTGTTTTGCTTTGTTTTGTTTTGTTTTGTTTTTCTTTTACCTTTAATTTCTCAATTTGGGAAATGTCTGGACAATGAAAAGTGAACTTCTGGGCTGGTTTTCTCCTCATCTCGGCGAAATCATTCCCAGTCAGGGAACTGGCCAAAGATATATCTGCAGGTCTCTGTGCTCTCGGAGCGTCTTCAGAACTGGCCACCCAAAACATGCAGATAGCTCGGTGCCAAAGTTGCCTGCAATTATTCTGACTGAGCGAGAACAATCGCTCTGGTACGAACTGTCCCCAGAGCTTTCCCCAGCTCTGGTGTCCA